GACGCGTTGCCACGCAAGGCTTCGGCTTCAGCTCCCTTTTCCGAATCATCATCAACACCTGGGTGTCCAGCCGAGGATTATGCCAAGACAGCAGAACCAAGGACCGTTGGTGGCATGCCCTGAAGTGGTGAGAAAAAAATGCAAAGCTGCAAGACTTGCGATAGCTCTGAAAGTCGAGGTCGTTATCCAGTCATGCAGTTGGGACTCTGCTGCTCACGCCTTTTGGTACTTGTGGGAGTGTCTGAGTCTGAGCCTCGAAGCCCCGGAGCTCCGAGAGCAGCCGCTGCTGGGCTGGCAGGTGGTGGGCTGTCACATGGCGGGCGGCTTAATTACTTGTGCCGAAGACCGGGGGAATTCTGGACGCAGCTCTGTTTTATGGGTTCGGGTTTAGGAATTTAGGACAAAAGTTGCAACGGGGCGATGCTTGGAGGTGCCTGCTGTTTTGTCTAGCCGAATTACACACATTAGACCCTCTAGACCCTCAATGTCAACACCACATCGCTTCGCTGCCACTCATGCTCAAGCCCTTACTTGCACAACCTGCCACAAAGACAAAGGCAGCCCGGAAATTGCCAAGCTAAACATTTGGCCTGGGGGCCGACCCGACACCTCAGACCGTCTCGGAGCGCCTTGACCTGTCACGATCCTGGGGGCCGAGTGTGAACGGTCCAGGTGCTCCGTGACGGTTGTGGCCATCTCACCGAAGATCCCCAGCACGGGACAGTCTGAGTCTGTTGTGATATTTGCCCCATCATCTATCCGGAAACTCAAGGTGACCTCAAGGTGCCCCAGTCCGTGTGCAAGCACCCTAGGTCCGCGATTCCGATCGATCCCAGCAAGCAGTCTAACCCCCATTCACCAAAAAGCTCAACAAGTTGCCGGTGCTTGAAGGTGCTGGGACCTCCGTCGCGTCATGCATGGGACTAGCAATGGTCTGCATCATGCAAGCGTGTGTATTCCTTGAGGGATCCTCTTTGTCACGAGATCCATGATGCCTGTGGTACTGTAACAGGCAGAGTTTCAACCTTTGTTTTCTGAACTTGTGCGCCCGGGATTGCAGGCCTAGTCATGGTCCTAGCCAGGCGACAGCAAGAAACATCCCGATCCAAGAATCTGATGCTTGTGGACACCGGACCTGCATCTGCGAAAGGTCGGCGCAGATGCCGGTGAGATGATGCAGGGTATCGGCATCGCCATGAAGGCCCGAGATTCAGATTTGCGTGCGATTTTAGAGGCGAGACTTTACGACAGAAGCCCCTCCCGGGCCTATCGGGATTGAGATTTTCCAGTGGCGAGCTCTCGAAGTCGCCTGACAGAACGGACAGTCCAGTGTGGGAAGGGTCTCGAGGCCGCGCGATTGCATATGTTCAAGTTTTCCTAAGTTTGCGTAGATCGATCGTGGCAGGCAGGGTTCCAGACCAGACGTACATAAGAGGTGAGATTGCAAGCATCGTCGTCGAGCCTGGCCCTGTTTCGCACCTTGTCACACTTAGGGGCGTGATAGCCCGCAATCGCATGCGCAGACTAGTCGCCGAATGTGGAGCAGGCTGGAGCGACCAAGGCCGACTTTGACTCCACAGCCGGGTGCCAAGATGTCATATATTCATATTTTACCAAATCGTTGAATACATGCATGCATGCATATACGTAGACAGGAACACGAACTATATGGTTTACACTAGTTCCTACCCTGAAGCAGACCAATATTATCGATCAGTATGGTTGTTCCGTGAGTTCATATGTAGCCACAGCATACAGACACAGAAGCTTGGTCTGTGGTGGTGGTAGCACTAAACTTTCACGTTGAACTTGAATCGCGCGACAGATTGGAATCCATCCAACTGCTGCGGAAGAATGGCTCGAGACTCAGCACTCCTGTGTCGGCACACAAAGGCAGAGGGAAGATGGCAAGTCAAGGTAAAGGCCTGCGGTTCTGATGGCCCAAGGTGCACTATGCGCACGAAGACTCGTCTCAACCTCAGGCTTTGCAGCAACAGTCGTCGCGTTGTCGTTTCCGTTCTGGGTGACTGCACAGTGTGTGCAAAGACTGCTCAGACTGCAACCAAGTCGGTGTCCCAGGAACAACAACTGCTGCCGATGTGGCCATTGGCTCAGTGAGGTGACTAGAAGGCCACGAAGGCAAGTGCTGTGGATCTGAGGTGTCTGTTAGATTAACGCTGAGTGTTTGCAGTTGGTGCTGTGGTATCATGGTCTTGTTGCTCTTCCCGGATATCGGCTTCAAATTTGGTACTTGTCACGGCCCTTGTTCCAACAGAGCTCCTTCCGCAACAGTTATAATCTAGAACACCCGCCGCGTCTCGTCCTTGAGCTCGCCCGATCCTCGCTTCGGCGGCGGGTCACTGGAACTTCGCCGGCCCGACTCACGGGCTTCGGGTCTTCCCGCGCCTTAGGCCAAAGCATGAGCGACATGGAGGTCGGAGGGCTGATTTGGGCGCTGAGCGGGAGGGGGAGAGGGGGCCAGGCTTTTGCGAGTTTGGCAACGTTTCGGAAATTTGGAGCTCAGCCCGGAAGCCTTCAAAGAAGGCTTTAGATTGTCGCACTAGGTCCTTGCGATACAGCTGTTTCATTGGATGAGGTAGGTTTGCTGGACACTGGCTGGATTTTCGAGCAGATTGCATCTTTGAATCTGAGTGTCCCGTTTAGTTGCTTGAGTCCCCTAGCGACATATTGCTTTGAGTTCAGATTCAGAAACGATCCGTGCCACTGGAGGCAGTGAGATGACACGGTTCACGAGTCATTGCTGTCAGTCTCATTTTTTCGCTCTCTGTCCTGGTCATCCCTGACCGACTGGCTTTGTGGCCTTCTACCATCGAAGTCGGTGCAAGATTTGCGCTCTATGAGACACCGGAAAGATCCAATAGCTCGATGTAGCTGCATGACTAGCTAGATATATATATATATATATATGTATTGTTCATTTAATAGCGACCTAGGACTAGGATTTGTGAAGTTTTGCTGTTAACCCCACCGCAGCACGGACCCGATGACCTCTCTTGCTACGATGGAAAATGATCAGGTTCCTGCACATCGTAAGCATGTCACGACGGGGGAGCAGATTGCAGCAGAATATCAGTCGCTCTTGTAGGGTCGGGGCCAGGGATCTTCAGGACGGGAGCCTGCCATAGTCAGACTGATGTGCATTGCCTTGGAAGAAACATGCGAAGTGTGGACAAAACGCAAGAGCCTGCGATGCTGCCCGCAGCAAATTCAAGATGTTACTAGTCGCAACGTTTGCCTGCGATTGCCACGATCCTTACATCAAGGATTCCAGGGTTTGGGTGGCACATGCTAGATGTCCGTGGTGTCTGAAGAAATGCAAGCAGCTCGTTTGAAGAGCCTCACCTGGAAGCTTGAAATCGACAGCTGCACCCATGAAGTTACGCTTCGGGCCGTTCCACAAGCCGGCTGCTAAATTTCAGGGTTGCTGTCCTAGGGGTGCGACGGATGCCATGCACTCCGATGGAGAGCCGGCTGCAGCTGGGACTGCAAAGGTGATGTGGACGATGACGAGTCTGGTTTGAGCACAGCGTTTGTCTGAACAGCTCTCCGGCTCTGCAGAACATTCTTTCACCAGCCGTGCGCTTGCAATGTTGTTGTGACAGAGGTTTCATGGGATCAGGTATGCCGGGCCACGTGGCCACGAAGGTCTGGTGCTCCCAATGACGAATCTAGGAGCTTAGACGGCCATAACTAACATTTGCCGCCAGGCATTGTTGATTACAGCGGCTTGTCAGACGATGTGTTTTGCCATGACAAGCAGTCAGGGCCGAGGCTGCTAGGGATGTGGAGATGTAGTAAAACTAGCGTTCCTTGAAGCCGTAAAGTCAAGTCGAGGTTGCAAAGATCCTTGCCTATGTCGCATGTCAACCTCGACTTTTGACCAGCATCCCACTCTTCAAGCTAATCCTGTGTAGCCCTATAAAAAATATATATATATATACACACACACACACACACACTAATACTCCACATTGGAAAAATACTCCCGGACAGCGACCTCGAGCGACCTTCCCGAGGAATTCAGAGGGGTTTTGTGTCACGAGCTTTCTAACCATCGTACAACCAAAGCACCTGGATCGCGTGAAGCTCCACGGAGCCTTCCAAACGGCCTTGAATCCTTTGGTTGCCAAGGTGGTTCGAAGCTTCCAGGGTGCCTCCGACGTGCGCCTGACGGCTGCAACGCTGATCCGGTGCCGGGATCAAGTGGCCACGGGCACTCAGGACCTCGTGTTTAACGTTGAAGGGTGCCTGCGGATCGGAGCAACTCTTGTCAAGAGGAGCAGCAGTGTTAAGAGCTGTTTCACTGCAAGCCGAAGAGCATGAGACACAAGCTGCATGTCCTCACTTCTAATGCAGTGCCCTGGTAATCCCGAAGACCATGTAAAGCCCAAATCCCACCTTCGAGAACCTTTTGTGCAAGAGGATGGCAACCTTTTGCTGTGGAATCTGGCGCCTGGGCGCCCGCGGCCTCAGAGGCTCACGGGTCAGTCCGGATCCATCACGTGTATCAAGGCTGGCTGAGGGGGTTGGGCGGCGGGGGCAGACCTTCGGGCTTTCTCGCATCTTTGCGGTAACTTGAAAGTCTGGAACGGAGAGACTTGAGAAAGAATCCAGACAATGTATTCTGCATAGGCATATGGCATAGGGCATAGGAACACGGTTCTTTCATGTTCTTCGTCTTGGAACCCAGCACCGCGACTTCAAGTCCCAAATCCAGATGAACTCTCACCACACACATCACGGCGTTTTTGAAGGCCTTGTACTGTAAAAAAAATCCTTGGGCCCCAGAAGTTACTCGAAGAGCATGCCAGCCTTGCAAGGCTTCCGGGTCCGGAAAGACGCTGGTTTCGGCCTCCACAGATTCCACAGTGGCGATTTGGAAGATGCCTGTGCGGGGTTGACGAAACTAGGTTTTGCTGGCGATGTCTCACGCAGTCTTTGGGACCTGCCTTCAGGTCGAGAAGAGACAGACCCCAGCAATGTTGAAGTTGCACTTCAGCCCTGTGCGCTGCTGCGACATTTCGACCGACGAGCGCCTGCTTCTTACTGCCTCGGACGACAAATCCGTAAAGCTTACCTGGCTGGCCGAGCGCCGCTTCGCTGCGACGTTTGCAGGGCACTCGAACTGGGTGCGGTCTGCATCCCTATCCTCAAGCTCTACACACATGGTCTCGGGTGGCGATGACAAGACTGTGAAGCTTTGGGATGTTGAGCAGAAGTCTTGCTTACAGACCTTCAGCGATAGTGCTTCAAGCATCACCTGTACTCGCTTCGGCTTGGGCGACCACGTTATCATCGCGAGCTCCTGGGATTCCTGCATCAATCTGTGGGATGTGCGCTCCTATGGGATCCGTCAGCATTACGGCCGAGCCCATGGAGGAAGTCCCATTACCCAGGTGCAGAAGCCGTAAGAGAGAGGGAGTGTGTGTGTGTGTGTGTGTGTGTGCATTGCATGGAGTATCTCAGAAGGGTGCATTCACAATGAGAAGAAGAAGACGTAAGAAAAAGACGCTCTGCTTTTTGCAGGTGGCCGTCCACCCGCGCAGCGACCTGATCTTGTCCTCTTCCTCGGACCGACAGCTGCGAGTTTGGGATCTCCGCGCAGGGAAGCTTTGCTGCACTGTCCTTGGCCACGAGCGCCCGGTGCATTCCTGCGGCTTCGATGAAGCCGGGGACCACTTCCTCAGCTGCGACAGCGAGATGGTCCTCTACTGGTCCCTTTTCTGAAAGCTCGCCCTGTTGTGGGAGTTCCAAAGCTCTGGAAATGTCCCCCTCCTCATGCGCAGGGCTTCGGGGCTTGCAAAACCCAGAGAGCCGAAGCCGTCCGAAACCCAAACGTCCCGCGTCTCAGCGAGCGCTCGCGACCCAAATCTCGAAAGTCCACCCTCAGGTCCTGTCCGCCTTTGGCAGCGCCCTGCCCTCCGGCACAGCCGGAGCCTACTCCCATCTCTCTCGAGGCGGAAGATGCCCTGAACCTCCCGCAGCTGGGCCAAGGGGATGCTTCTGCTTTTGCTTTCACAAAGAAGGCACAAAAAGGGCTCGGGGTCAGGATTCTAGGGCTCACAGGGTCTATGGAGATGTTGAAAGCTTGTTTCTTAGCGGGGCCGGTCTCTGTCCTCTGGTCTCAAACACTGCAGTCCTCGAACCATCCAACAACACAAAGGCACAGTCAGCCTTTTGGATTTACGCTCCATTACTCGTACAGGTATCGGAGCGTGCCATGCTGTGAGCGACCAGACACAAATTGGTTGATTCCCCCTCGCCCGATGCCCAGGTCGGTCGGTTGCCTGTTCTGAGTTTACTTACATGTATCAGATAGAGGCTGTGTGCTGGGCAAAGCCAAGCACAAGCTCCGTATTGCAGAGCCCATGTTTCTCAGTCTCAGCCGAGGAGTTCCGCGCCCAGGATCGACGGCCCGGCATCCGAAGCTGGCAGGAGCGCCGAGGCTTCCGACCCTCTCTTGGCCGGGGAGGCCCCGTTTGAGGGATGCTTTGCTTTTGTTGTGTGTGTGTGTGTTGAGCCTCTTCTGGAAGGTCGCTTGGGGGCTGTTGCGACTTTGCAGTGTTTCGGTTGGTTTTAGGTCCATGTTCAGCCTCAGATTTGTTTGAAACTCTGATGGCCCCTGACGGCTTTGCGCCTCCGTTAGCGCGTTGTGCCACTCCGTCTTTCATGTCTTCGGGTAGGCACATGGCAGGTGCCACACTTCACCGACACAGACTTGTGAAGTTGGAGGTCATTCTTTGTAGGGCTTGACTGAACGGCCTTTCTTTCTTGTGCGGGTCACGGGGGGTCCTAACATGAGGCTGCTAGAAGATTTCAGGAGTGTTACGTGAGGATGGAAAGCCGGGGAGTCGGGGTTTCGCGTGGTATTTTTCTGTATGTTTGCCAGTATTCCATGCACCGATGCACCCACCCTTTGGAGATTCATAGGCGAGACGAAGCTCGGGCCAACCGCCTGCACGCTGCCCAAGAGTACGGTACTTTCGCAACAGCGACAGGAGAAGTTCCGAAACAATGAAGACCTCAATCCCCAGGCCCTTGAAACAACTGAGCCTGCGGTTGCAAGCAGTGCGAGGCAGCCCCTTGGAAGCAGGCCGAGGTGCCCAGGAGCCGCAAGGCTCCGAAGGAGGACGGGCGTGGAAGTCAGGGCTGATGCCTGGAAGTAGGGTCGAGGTTGGGCCCAGGGCTTGCGATGACCATGGTGCTGTAGCTACAAGTAGTATATGATGCTACCGGCTACCTAGCGGTGCTGAGCTACCTGGCATTGACGATGAAAGCTATGGTGACGGTGATGACAACGGAGGCAAGCATTGTGATGTTGACGACGTTGGCGATGCCAGTCTTGCTTCTGCAGTTCATGATGGATTTGACGATGCCCCAGAGGTTTTTGGTTTTGTTGAGGCGCCCTAAATCACCGAATCCAGGGTGTGGGGACGAAAGAGGCAGATCGCGCGTAGCGTGATGCACAGGAGGCCGGAG